ATCTATAATTCAATAGAGAGGCCAATCAGGGCATATGGCTGGCAGACATGAGCTTATGCTTACAAGAAACAATTAACAACTTAAACATGGTCTTAAACGCTGAGATGAAATAACAAAAGGACCATTTTAGATAAATTGTCTTGATTCCAGCAATTAGAACTCTAAATCTAAAATTTATCCAAAGCTCATAGAGAAAATGCAATCATAGTGATCGGGTTGGAACGTCGCAACAACTGTAATAAAGCATGTGGAGTAACTGTGTAGAAGTTCCTTACCTTGAGGAGAAACATCCCTCTTTACTCCTGGCAGGGAAACTCCAGTCTCTAGAGGAACGCTGAGAAAGGGTACCCTGTGATGCAAACAAGGTTTTGCACCCCCAAGAGATAATTTCACCGCATTGCTGATATCTTGTTGGAATGTGGATATCCTTCCTGAAAAATAAAAATTAATAATTTGCGACAAACCTGATTATGAGCAATATAAAGAGTTTGAATACAGAAAAAAAAATTTGTAAAGCAGACAGTGGAAAATAATTTATTCAATCAGACCCTGATAAAGGTTGGTGACTGAAAGGTGGTTAGACATTTTGGTTGAGATGACTGAAATTTTTTGTTGCCTTAGTCACAATGTCTCCAATTTTTGGTCATTTCAATCAGAACTACTAGCCCTTGAGGTCAGGGTTTACAGGAGTTTGGAGTCAAGGTCCAGACCCATTTGAGCATTGCTGAACCCCAAGCAAGCCTCGATCTCCGGCCTATCGGCAGATTTGGTTGGTTATGCTAATTAATGCTGATGGTTATAGGATAGTAGTTGTCGTAAATGGCTTTTATCCCTGCTATTAGAGCAAAAAAAGAACAAAAGAACAAAAGCGCAGATCTGTTGTATAAGAACTGAATTTTAAACATTGGATTTATCAATCCACAACTCCATACTTACCTCCATCAACGTTAGATTCTTTTTCTCTTGGCAGTTTTTCAATTACGAAGGTGAACAAACGTCTAATTTCAATTTCATTTGAGTACAAGAGGGTCTGGTAGCCTATCTCATCTTTGTATCCAAGTTCCTGGGATGACATGAAAACCATTAAATGTTAGTTTGTGCAGTTTCAAAATATGTTAAATTGTAAACCATAATAAATGTTACAAATTCTCTGATTTCTCGGCACTTAAAAGTATTTTTATTGAATCTAAATATTTACAGCATGCTAAATGAAAAAATGTCCCCAATTTTTAAAACCTAAGTATAACCATTATGTACTTATATTTGCGCAAACCTCCAAGCCCAAAGCTTCCTCTGACCATTCCAACTTAAATTTTTACCCTATAAAAGGATACTCCTTACTCGGTATGAGCTTGAAGATTTTCTCTGTGCTGATATTTTTTTTTTTTTTCAAAAGACAGAAAATACCTGAAAATCAGTAGCGTACACAATTTCATTCCTCCAACTTTTTCTACACCTGTTACAACCATGTGGGAATATAATTGCTAACTATATGCATTCTGTGCTGGCCCTCTATTATTTTACCAAGATTCTTCTGCCAGATTAGATTTGGTGCAGGAAAAAATAGTACTGAGTACATATTTCTGTTTTGAAAAAAAATTCAAATTTGACATTACCATAGCTTCGCCTACCCCTTTCCTGGAACAGTTTACTGTCATCAAAGGGTTAATTAACAGGATCATTTTGCATGCAAACAACCCTGCTTTTTTTCTGTGAATCATTGAGATGGCTTGTGGTGAAAACATTCATAGCACTTAAAATATGATGTAAAATATCTGTATCTTCCAAAAGAGACAACGTCTGCTGATTATTTCACCCGTACTAAGAGGTTGAACATAATTACCTATCCATAGTTATTTTGAATGCGACAAGTTTGGCTGTCCTTGGAAAAGGCATTCCAGGGACGGATTTTAAAATTGGAAAGACAAACTGAGGAAGTGATGAAAAAGTTGGTTCTCACCTTGATAGCATTAGCTATTGAGGCTCCCAATTTAAAACGCTCAGACATGGAAGGGGGTAACTGCGTCGATAAGTTTAATGATGGGTTGATCAGATTCAAGCATCGTGCAAAACCAGCAATAATATTTTCACTTGATAAATGTCTCAACAGCTTGACATCTTCTTCTAGTTCACTGAAAAGGAAAATCAAATTTATTAGTAAAAACTAAAGAATGTCCTCAAATTTGTAATAAAAATTTATGGCTGTAGGTAAAATGGCGAAACTGTTGAGCACCAGTTCTTAATCTTAAATTTCAATTATTTAATTCACTGATACTAAATTGCTTGAGGCAATCTTTCCTCTTTGAGAGAAAGTTAAAAAGAAATGATACCTTATATTTTGAAAAATTTCCTATTTTTAATGCGTATCTAAAATTACTTGGGCAAGAATAGAAAAACCGTGCAACACAACAACAGTAGCGCACATCAAACCTTCTGCAAAAAAGGAACAACGGAAAAGTTGTTCATGTTTACAACGACTAAAATGATTAAAAACAAAAAATCAAAATTTCAAATCATTATGATGGTTTTTCTTCTCTAAAAAAATCATGCTATCATTTTTAATGGAAAACACTGATTTCTTAGTAATAACTCAAAATAAATAAAAGATTAAAGATAAGTCACAATACTTCATGACAATTATTAGCGAAAGGAAAATACTAATATTGCTAAGAAACTAAAAATTATGTATAAAAGCGCAGTAACCAAATTTTAAAAAATAAAATATGTCTAGAAATTTGCGATACTTGTGGCGAATCAAAATGCATGTTCTTTCATTATGAATTATGCTGATTTTAGAGTTTCTGAAAGCTCTACCAAAAATTGTTTGTGTACTGAAAAAGATTCGCGCTAGATTCAAAATTAGTTAGACAGTACTTCTTCAGAAAATTTTAGTGACTTTTTACATGTTGTGAGAAGTTGGCCGTGGGCAGAGACGAAAGACCCTCCACTGGCATCTTGACGACAGGTGGAAGCTTTTACTTTCGGGGATTCAACATTCCTTTAAGGATCATTATATGGGGGCAACAGTCATCACCCTTTTTGCGGCTGTTGACCTACTTACTTGGTAAAAGATGAGCTTCGGGTGACGCCATGAGACGAACAAGTTCACCGAACTTCAGTGTGTTTGCCAAACAAAATACCCAACACGTTTTTAACCATTAGCCAAGTGGTTAGGTCAAAAGCTGAAGGTTGAAGTCCCGAAAGTAAAAGCCTCCACCATTGCCAAGATACCCAGAGGAGGGTCTCTTGTCACTGGCGGAGGGTCATTTCCAGAAATTCTTATCAATGATATTTCCCGTCCAAAAGGCTCAAATTTGCATACTGATTCCTTATGTTTCAAAGGAAACTAGTTTCTGATAGAGAAACTATGAAACTAAGTCTTTGGAAAGTAGATATTAGACAAACTATAGCAACCTCCTCTAAGTTTTCTGGCCTCTAAACACAGCTGCCTTGCAATTTCACAACCTCTTCTGTGGCTATCTCTCCCTGTCTTGAAGAGTATCCTGTCAGTTCAAGCAATATCTTAACTCATTTTAACCTGAGTCGAAGTAAGGAGTATATAAAGGAGTAACGTACCAATTTATTTCCTTCAAAGAGTTGAGAATAATTTTGTCAACTTCCTCCATGGTGGTGAGATGTTGGTCAGCCAAAACACTTAGAATGGATGAGTAAATCCCTAAAGTCTATTTCAAATTGATCAGTAACCACATCACACCTGCCTGCAATAAATAAACTGAAGCTTGAAGGTAAATGTGTGCATATACAAATCTGAAGAAGACTATGATTATAATTTAGCCGAAGAAGCCTTGTTGAAAAGTGTACATGTTTATGTTTGAGGTTATGTCCGGTTTGCGGTTATGTAAACATTGTAAACAGAGACCAAGTTATCTCTGATTGGCTGACGGTTCCCGCCTATTTTCAAATTGGTTAAGTCAGCTAAGTCAGTTAAGTCGGCAGCAGGCGTCATCGCAACAAAGGCGCTGAAATGAGAGTGAAAATAAGAGAAAAAATATAGAGTAACGAAGCGTACTGATTTCAGAACCTACAGTGATGGTAAGTAAACTGTTGCGGAGAACGCAATCGTGGGTGACAGATAAAAAACACGTTATCTCCATTTTTGACGATTTTGAGTTACCTGCAAAATAATGCATACTAGGCAGGGCCGGATTAAGGGGGTGGCCACATGGGCCGCAGCCCGTGGCGGCAAATTTTACATTTTTTTTTAAATGTAGCTAAATAGAAAATTGGATTCAGAAAAAAAAATACACACAAGAAAATATGACAATGCCTCTCATTTCCCGAGAGTTTATCTCTAATTTTGTCGTCTTTCTGTGATACAATAGACAGCATCTTTCTGTGTCGAGTTAAGACTAAGAGAGAAACCGAACCCGGAATTTGGCCTGGAATGGCGCGGCGCAGAGAGCAATGATGATGAGAACTTAAGATGAAAAGGAGAAACCCTAGGCGCGGCGCGGCGGTCGGCATGTAACACATATCAGCGCCTTCAAGACTGCATAAATACTTCGCGCATTGCGTCAAAGACAGTGCGGTCGCTGACTCAGCAGCGGGCGGCGTGAAACGCATAGCGCCTACAAGACTGCATGAATACGTCACGTATTGCGCCAAACACAGTGCGTGCAGCAGTGTTCGGCGTGAAACGCGTACCGCATACAAAACTGTAGGAATACTTCACGCATTGCGCCAAACACAGTGCGGTCAGTGCGACGCGGCGGCGGAAGTTAAACTTATTAAACCACATTCATGTTTGTTCTTTCATAATTTTTTCGTTCATTACATATAAATGGAAGGCCTTGTCCACACAGAGATAGGATTACGGACCTTAACCTTCGCGCCGAGTTCCGTGAACTTCTGCTAGTAGTGTTGACAGGGCTTTCGCAAAAAAATGTGTCCAACACGAGTAAACGCGTCTTATGCAACCCTCCCCCTTCGGCACGTTCACTTGATGGTTTGATTGATGTTTCAAACGAATGAGAAGGGGGCGGCAATTAAGTAAATCCGGCCCTGATACTAGGGGATGATATGGATAGCATTTAGTAAAACAAACCAGCGTGATTGCAGTGTTTTCAAGCTGTCCAACTTCTTCTTTTCTGTAAAAAATACTTAATATATGCACAGTATTAAAATGTACACAATACTTATCATTTAAAATTTACAATTTTTTTGGTGGAAAGCACAAAATATTTGCCATTCTGAGTTTTTTTTAGAGAATAATGAAGAAACAAAAATTTTTACAATGCTGTAATCGTGCTGGTTCCCTTTTGCTACATGCGATTCGTAAATAGCATGGTTGAAAAAAAGTGGGCAGTGACATTACAGGGTGAGCGAAAAGTCCCCGACCCCCCCCCTCTAACTTTTGAACGAATTGAGCTAGGGAAATGAAACTTTGGGAATAGTCCTATCT